TTTATTTCAAATTTGGGTTTGTAAAATTTTGTAAATATTATATATATATTTTATTTTTATTTTTTTTTGAAATTGCTGTCATCAAGGTTTGTCACCCGATGTCAGGGGTCTGGCTAGACCCACGTCTTTCCCATTCATTCAATATAATTTAATTTTATTTATAGATTAAAAAAATATTATAAACTTTTGTTAATATATTTTTAAGTTAGTTTATAGTTTTCAATGTTTATATATTTTATTTCAAAAAAAAATATTTTGTACTCATGTGAATTTTACCGTCTATACGAAAATTTCTATTCATTTAACGTTTCTTAAGTTTAGCTTATCACACAGGTAGGTGAAAATATATTTGATCTCTTTTTCAAACACCGTTAAGTTGTAAAAAACCGAAAAAAACCAAAAAACCAAAAAAAAACTGAAAGAACGACTAAAACCGAAACCAAAAAAACTGACTTTGCGTGATTTGATTTGATATTTAGATTTAATAAACTGACATAATTGGTTTAGGTTTTTTTTAATGAAAAACCAAACCAAACGACCTATGTACACCCCTACTTCTAAGTCATCAAGAATCATGGTTGAGTTCAAAGGTTAGTTTTTTCTTGATTTTATTTTGTTAGCTTTTCGAAGAAAGGAGCAATTTAACTTATGATAATGGAGGTTTTTTTTTCAAACATGAAGAACAATAATAAAGAAGAAGACAATTGAGTTAATATTTATTTTTTCCAAGTTTATTTTAACACATGACTAATTTTTATTGGTCAATGCTGTCTAAAAGCTGCACCCACGCGCCTAACATAGGTGAAATCACGGACTCAGCCACGTAGGCCGAAAAGTGGTAAACAATTAACTAAAAAATAAGTTCGGGAGGGTAATAGGACCTTAGTAAAGGTTAGGTGTGTCTTAGGGATTTTGGGCATAGGCTGGGGGTACTTGTGCATTTTCCCTATTTCTGATTTTGAAATTTAGCCTTGAGTTTAATCAATTAGGTTATTTGATGGAATAAGAAAAGTTAACACAAGAAGAAAGAATAAACTAGTCATTTTAAAACTGGAAACATAAGTATTTTGGGACAGATATAAGTTGTTCATCATCAAACAAAAGAAACTCTGTTGAGCTAACATCACTTGAGAAAAAAGGACAACATTACACAGACAAAAACGATACCATCTCCACTTAAAAGAGAGAAGTTCCCTTTCCCTTCTTATCTCCACCAATTTCAAAGTGCTTGCACCTCTGCAAGGTCAGTAGCCAAATTTAATACTACAGTATACAATGATCAAAAGAAAGATTGAGAGCCATAAACATACCTTGATTGGGTGTTGGGACACATGTTTGCATCCCTGGCATTGCAACCTTAGCACAATCTTCTTGGTAGTTTTGGCCTAGTATCGAAACAACGTTGAATTATGAGATGAATAACAAGGGGGGTTAAAAAGAGTATTGACCAGAGTTGATGTTAATGTCAAATCTCTTCTACCTTCTTGTGGAAGACGGGTTTTGTCTGCCCACCATAACCAGACTGCTTACGATCATAACGACGCTTCCCTTGAGCTGCAAGACTATCTTTTCCTTTCTTGTACTGTGTAACTTTATGCAGAGTGTGCTTTTTGCACTCTTTCGACTTACAGTATGTCTTCTTAGTTTTTGGAACGTTCACCTGCAAGATCAAATTTTGATCTCGTAAACTACACAATACTGGTAGCTATGTGAAAATCTTATAGTAACTACTTTATATGCATATCACAGGTCAAATATAGACCATAACAGATTACAGGATCCAGGAACTAGGAACTGCAATCTAGAGCATGCAGAGGTAGGCTGAATTTTGAAGTTGATTGCATTCATTATTATAAGATATCAAATCAAGATACTCTTGACGAGAGCCTGCCTAGCACTTGTAAATGATATCACAATTCTTTTTTGGATGCAGTAGAAAGAATTTTATTACTAACAGGATCCAGAGGATGCAATATGTTACAAAAGTGGGTTGATTCCTTTAGAAAACAAAAGGAGGTAAGGAACAAATAATCTCAAAACAGCATCACGTTGATTAAAGTTGAGCCAGCAAAACAAATGCATACACATCAAGCACAATTCAGAACTGAGGTGCTTAAAAATATCAATCAACTTTGAAATTGCAGGCTAAACATTGTGGATATCAGAAACCTGAGAACTTTTATCTACAAGAAAAATGCAGCCAATCACTGCATCCACATTGATTGCAGGCTATACACAACACAGGGGATAAAATTGAGACTTTTTTGTGTTAACAATTAAAACGAAGCAAAAGTTTCACCAAATTTCAGAGCAGCATTTTCAAATCACATTATAGAAGGAAGAAACCAGAAATCATGAAGTCAACAAAATTAATAATCGTCCATATATGTGGCCTACTAAAAACTCCTTTAGAAAAGCTATACTCTTGCAGAGAAGCTCTAACTATTTATTTTTGTATGTAGTCCATGATATAATTAGCTTTTTTTTGCCAACCAGTATGTTATCCACCAAAGAAATAATTTGTGCATTGGCTTTACTTGGCATATTTGGAAAGCCACCTAAGAATTGGAGTTGTGTAATAACAACATAATTATCTCTGGCCAAGTAATGTAATTGTTGATGTTAATTACTTACTCTCAAACTAAGGTAACTTTACTGATTCCCTTTAATTTTTCTTTGGTCAAACACACTATTTCTTTCTACAATACTTCTCATTGTATGCTTCCATTGCAAGTTTTAATTTTTTAAAATAAGTGTGGCATCATCTCGACTAATGTAATGACCTCCCACAAGCAACAAGTATTGTTTGATAGGAACTGTATCTAAGACCTCACTCACCTCGTGGTCATATCTAGTTTTATCCTCTTAACTTAGTTGGAATCAGCTATCCAAATCTATCATGACGGATCGTAACCAATAAATCATTCTCCTACTTTTGAAATGCGAATATGATTAACAGTTTGAATAATATCAGCGTATAACAATGAACATAAAGGGAGGAAGAATAAAGGAAGTTACCATTGTCGGCGACTGAGTCTGAGCTGCCGTAGAAAACACCTTTGCTCTAATGGCGTCCACAAAACCTAGAAAATAAGGGGAGATGTATATAGCTAGGGTTTTAAGATTATGGGCTCCTTTTGTAAGCAGCCCATCGCACCACTTAACCATTGGCTATTTAAATTGTAACCATTTTTTATAATTTATTTATGATTTAGGTGAATTATTTATGTATTAAAATCAATATAATTAGGGGTCATTTTATCCTGGGATTAGTTACGTTAGGATAAGTTATGCTGAGATAAGTTATATTGGGATTAGTTATGTTGGAGTAGTTTTTATTGCTTGTTTGGTTTGTCATATTCAAACTTATATCCATTGCATAATTTTTAATAATAAGTTGTTTGTTTACAAAAGTAACCTTCACCTTATTAATTTTTATTTTTTTTTACATTTTCTTTACAAACTTTAGTTATTCATTCTCAAAAATCAAACTTTCATGTTATTTAGCTTAAATATTTTTATATGTGCATTTCCATGATTGTGCCGTGTGTTTTTAAAATTAAACTTTCATCTTATTTAACTTAAAAACAAAACTTTCATCTTATTTAACTTAAAAATAAAACTTTCATCTTATTTAGCTTAAAAATAAAACTTTTGATCTTATTTAGTTTAAAAATAAAACTTTCATTCTAAGTTTATCAAAGTAAAAGAAATTTTATTATTAAAGTTATCTACATTTTAATGGATACATAGAATATAATTTTTAAGTAAGTAATAAACTATGTAATTCAAAATATGTAATTTAGTAGTGGAGTGAATATTTTAAGAGAAATCAAAATATAAATAAACATAAAATTAGGCAAAAAAAAATCAACTTATAATATATTCATAAATAAAAATTGTATTTATAAAATGTAATTTTTTAATAGAAAAATATATTATGATAAAAACAACGATTAAGTAAGGTTGTGAATGTTATTATAGTTGTATAAAATTATATTAATATACATGAATGTATAAGTGGTGTATAAAAGAGAATTTAAGGGGGGTAATTTTGTTAATTTACATACTTTATCCCAGGATAAGTTATCCTGAGATTACTATTCCACCCTCAGGGAGGGATAACTTATCCCAGTACTATTTGTCATCTTGGGATAAGTTATCCATCTTGTCTAACCAAACAACGGATTAATAGTATCTAGTACCACATTTCGTAGCATTAAGTATAAATCTAACCAGCTATAAAACGACTGCTTTTTTTGTTTGCTTTTTTTTTTAAGACCTTTGAGTCTAGAGTTTTGCATTGTCAAAAATTGACTTTTTCCCTTAATTTGAGTCTCACGTTTGATTGGAAGACAACTAAATTTAAAATACTTTGAAAAATATTAACTACATGTTTTAAATAGCGGTCCTAAAGTGACTATTAGTGCATTCCTCAATCCTAAATGAGAAAATTGCACAGAATGGCCTTTCTTGAGGCTATTATTTAAATTTTATCCATCCTTAATTCAATGAAATACTATCATACTATGCATATTTGTTGTTCGTCTGCACTAGTTAGCTAAATTTGGTTGATTGGTGGCAATTTTTTTGGTGGCTTTGACAACTAATTGTGATTATCCTAGCAATCATTTGGATCTCATTGCACAATGTGTCACATGGTTAAGGAATATTTGATGTAAACATATGATACATATAAGTATTACGGAGGATCATCAATATGGTGTAATGATAGAATATTGAATGTAATTTAGCGTCAAGCGTATTTTCGCTCTAACTTCTCTCAAAATTATATGCAATTAAACATACCAATGTATATCAGCACAAAAACAGTTGTTTTGCATTATCACATCTCAATTCTTGCATGGGAAAAAATCTATTTCCTGTAAAGGCAAATTTCGAGTTAATTTGAGCACACCTTAACTATTCCCATAGGTATTTGCTATTTCTTGTAATATAAATATCGAGTGACTCTCTCCATCAATAGTACTAAAGCAAAATCACCAAACTCTTTTTGTCTATGCTAGAAACCCTGATCTCTTGTGATTTTCACTTCCTTTATTAATTGCTAGGCCACGCCCTCAAGCATCGCATGAAAGAAAATCTTTTATGGACTAGGGAGGCACTCCTGGTTTGGAGATCTTAACAATTGCACATGGCAAGCATGGCCTGCTTTGAGCTTTTTCTGAGTAAAAAGAGGACCAAAAACAACATATTTAGTGTAATTCCACAAGTGAGGTTTAGAAAGGATAGTGTATGTCAGTAGCGAAGCTAGAAATTTTACGAAGGGTGTTCAAGAATTACATTAACTAAAAAAAATGACGAATGGGTGTATTGAAAATTTTAAAATCAAACTACGTAATATTAGTAATTAAATTTCTTTTATGAACAAATGTACAAAAAAAATTTAAGTTAAACTACATGATTCATAATTTTAATGTGTAGATTTAGTTTAATATAACGTGATCGTACAGAAGAAAAAAAAAGAGACAAATGGAGAAAATTCAACTTAGAATGACATTATTTTTATGCTTCAAGTCACGACGACACATGTAAAATAAAGAGTACAATCAAACAAGGCTTTTAAAAAAGAATTCTATATGGAACCTTTTTTGCTTTTAGTTATTTTATATAAAATTCCGAGGTTGTTTATTTTTATTAACTATTATTTAAATTTAGAAAGTTACTAAAAAGGCCTTTTTAAAATATAAAAAATGGCATAAATGACAAAATTAATTTTTAATTATTTCTAATGATAGATTTATTAACTATTATATAGATTTAGAAAGTTACTAAAAAAAGCTCTTTTTAAAATATAAAAAATGGCATAAATGACAAAATGTTGATGGTGAGGATCGAATTTGCGCTCCCCATGCACACTACTTTTTCAGCCTCAAGAACCACCGGGCTACACATGCTTGATGGGCTCAAGGTGTCTAAAATATATTAAGTAGTCATTTAGGATACCATTTACTTATATATATGATGTCCGGTTGGACACCCTGACATCACTGTAGCTCTGCCCCTGATGTATGCAAACCTTATCCCTACCTCGTGGAGGTAGAGAGATTGTTTCTGAAAAACCCTCCGTGCAACAACTCAAAGATGACCATGCAATGTAATTATTTTCAGTCTCCAGTCTCTAAAAACTGTGGCAGAAGCACATTGATATACATTGAATGAATCAAAACCATGTGAATCAAGATATGCAGAAAGAATGTCAAATATATTTTAATAATATAAGTATATAACGAAATGATCTTTCCTCCCAGTTACAGATAAATAGACCTATATATGTACTTAACATATATAGGATTTAGAAGGTCCGTGAAGCAACAAAAATTTCTACTACAGAGATCTTTGCTGTGCTGCTACAGATTTTCAACTCTAAGAATAAACTTAACCTATTTTTGCAACACAAAAAAAGGAATGGAAGAAAAAAGATAAAATGCCAGCAATAAGCAAGTATTTTTAGTGTTTTACTTCTATAGCTAGTTTTCAGTTTCTAGGTGTTAATCAGAGGACCAACAAAAAATGCAGAAAGAATAGCTAATCAACAGCAGTCTTGCTTTTTCGAGGACCGGTGGGTTTTTGAAGGCTATCAAAGATTGGTTTGGTAATTGCTGCAGTAGAAATTGCCTGGAAATCTGGCTTCAAATTCCACTTTGATGTTGTCCACAGGGAAGATAACGTGCTACTGTCTGATTCCTGCAAACTCGGTGTACTTGATGACTTCCTGACACTTGCACTGTCGTTCAGAAAAGAATCGTTCAACAGCATAGTGATAGGATTTATGGAACTTGCTTCAGCATCTGGTCCAAGGAGAATTCGACTAGCTGACTTAGGTCGCAAAGCCAATCCCTTGCCAGCAGCAGCAGAAAACCCGCTGCCACTGCTGTTATCTTCTTTCAACAGCACTTCTGGGGTGCGGGAACTGAAATCAGCCTCAGATTTTTGACGCCTTCTAGACAATTTCTCGAACAATCTATTAGAGCCATTTTCAGCGCTACCTACTCCGTTCTCTGACATATCATTAGCTACACTTTTACATTTTCTATGAAGACCGAGTGGTTGATTAGAATGAGGAGTTGACATGACAAATGGTCCATCTTCTAAATAATGTGATACTCCTTTACGATAGACAGCCATTTCAAAACCTTCAGATGCAACTTTCTGATCTGCCAGTTTAGGGCCCTGATAACCTAGTAAAGAGCTCATGGCTGGTGAAACTCTTTGCTGGGAGGAAGACTTCAATTTCAGGGATTGAAATGAACCAAACAAATCAGGGTATTGGTTGCTCGGAGGGATCTGCTCAGAGCTGCTTGGCCTGTCAAGAAACAAATCACAGTTACCACATAGCTCAGCACAAGTTCTAAAGCTTTAGAATATCAAAGATGTGGTACTCAAGAAGCCAATGAGACAGAAATGACTAAGATACATAAAATAGTCTTGTAGTCGTAGATACTACTCAACATGGACGTTATATCAACTTAAGAAGAATTAAGCAATCTTCATTAGACTAGCAGTTCATATGAATACGGTTCCGCAGAAACTAGTGATTTGAGAAATAATATGAATATCCTCTTTAGTTTCTTTAATCCATACTAGTGCAAGCGTTACCAAATTCATTCTAATTCTCAAGAAAAAGTAATCTGGAATATGTACCTGAAAACATATAATAGAACATGATTTCTGCAACTCCATGAGACCCCACGAATTGCCAGATGATACTAATATATAAGAACCACCTAAATGTCAACTTTGTATGAAAATAGTTATAGATGATACAAGAAATTCTTCTTGTGGACAATCTTTTCTTTCTTTCAGTAAAGTTCTTGTGGACAAAGCAAAGCTTGTCTGTCTTTTTTCCTTTTAGACAGGATTTTTAATAATGCTTATACTCACTCCATTCCACTTTACATGATATGATACAAAGTACGATGGTCAAATTACCTAATTTTCGGTGTGAATTTTGACATAGAATCTTCAAGATTTTTGAAATAAACTTGCGCATTACTAAATTACAAAAAAAAGTACAATAAGTCACAATAGTTATTTTTAGAAAGTAATTGA